ACGAACCGAACATTCAAGGCACATCACGCATTAGACGACTGCCATACGCTCATCGAGGTGCTTCGCCATGCTCCATATGTGGCAGATGCCTTGGCCGCCCACATTTGCAGTATGATTGGCCTCCAGGTCCCGGACCTTGCCAGCACGCTGCGCAACCGATTGCAGAACCCACAGCACATCCGGGACCCGCTTCCGGCTCCACGCATATTCGAGTACTGCGGGAAGCGGTACTTGTTGAAGAACATGGCTTTCCTTCCAGCACCACCCGTCCTTCCGGCACCACTCGTGTCTGTGCCTATGCCAGTGCCCACGCCAGGTGCTGCACCGGCTGGGTCGGTCGTGCCTCCACCACCTGCCACACCCCCACCAGACGAGACCATGATTCCACCACCACCGCCTCCCCTTGTGCCAGCTACGACTTCCGAGGTCCCGAGCCCACCATCTTCGCCGCCGACCTTTGCTCCGGCCACGCCGCCGATGGCACCGGTTGTGGGTGGGGCTGTCCGCACCGTCTCGGATGTGGAAGATGAGCTGAAGAAAGAGGATCCGAAGGAGAAGCGCAAGAAGAAGCATCGAGCGGATTGGTGGGGCGGCTTTTGGGACGGCCGTGGACATGACTGGTGGGCTTGGTCCCGCTACGCCTACGATTCCTCCTATGATGGAGGAGCCTGGTGCTACCAAGTCTACGGAAAAGGAGGCTACCAGTCTTGCGGAAAAGGCCGCCAGAGAGGCGGAGGTGCCAAAGGCAACGGTGGGAAGAGCAAGGCCAAAGGCGGCAAAGCCGCCTCTCCGGTGGCTGCAGCTCCTACTACGCCTACGCAGCAGCCCACTGGCGCCGAGATCTCCGCCGTCACGAAAGCCTTCAAGTTCCAGTGAGAGCTCCTGCGAGCGGGCTGAGTTGTGGTCTCTGTCCGTGGTTTGCGTGGGTCTCTTGTGGCTGGGGGCCCTGCTCCCTTTCAGGCCCCTGAGTGCGTTTAGTTGGGATAGTTTCGAGACGAAATTGGACTGAAGGACCCACGGAGAACGGCGGAAGTTTCCCGTGTCTCACTGTCGCATCTGTCCTTGCGTAGTATGCCCGAATCTGGGTGGTCAAAATTGGGCACTCCCTTTTGTCTCTGGAGGAGTACGTTGCATTATCGTAATGAGACTACACCAACTCTCACGCTTGAGCTCCCGGCTGTTCTGGAGAGATTCCCACTCCCCAATCTCATGACTTAGGGGGCCCACCTCGCCCTGCGACCTCCCGAAAGCACCAGAAACCTCAGAGCCGGAGAGCTCTGGACCGTGAAGCTCGACAAAGCCTTTCCGGATCTGCCGGCGAGGTCTGGGTGGACGAGATGACGAGGCCCCCGCTGAGAGTGTGAAATGCTAGTTCTTGTCAATGGAGAAGTTCTTTTGCCGTGACAGGAATACGGGCGTGCTGCTAGCTGTGAGAGGTTTCAAGCGGTAGAGCAAATCCAGGATGGAGGACGACGATTACGGTGAGCCCGGTCATCGATGGGCAGCACACGATGAGGCGCTCGGGATTCAGCCTCGGCTCCTTTCCAGCACTTTTCTGAGCCAAGTACGACACAGCAGCTGGCTTTCACTTGGCCCATGGATGTGAAGCTAAATGTCAAGCTTGCTGCGAATGACAGACGAAGTTTGCAGGAGTTCAGGATGTTTTTTGGCCATCAGGTATGCTTGGTCTGTCTGTGCAATGCCATCATCGATAGTGTTGACACTTTTTCTGTAGACGAAAGCACTTGTAGCAGCAGCAGACTCAAAGCAGTACCAGAGTGTGGCCTTTTGCGCGCAGGTGATGGCCCACGGAATGTGGCAAGATGCGCAATCGTGGGGCCACGTCCCAAATATCCCCAGGGTACTAAAAGACAGTTGGTGCGTGCACGCGCTCGCGCACGAGCGGGGATGTGTGTTTGTGTGTGTGTGTGTGCGTGTCTGTCTGTCTGTCTGTCTGCCTGCCTGCCTGCATGGCTGGCTGGCTAGCTGGCTGGCTGGCTGTCCGTCTGTCTGTCTGTCTGCCTGTCCATGCATCTGATGTGAAGTCGGGTGTCGATTTTTGTTTTGGTGATGCGAAGGCTAAAAGCAGTTATTGTTGACACCATCAACCCACTACACAGCGGTACGATTCTCGGAATAATTCTTCTACGCACTGGGACTGAGTCTTAGCCTCTTAGCAATGCCACATGCAACAGACACCCGATACCCCAGGCATCCTTGTAGCAATTCGGGCCAGAGCCGCAGCGCTCAGGCCGCACAGGACTCTACGATGCGCCCTGGTATGGCCAGGTCGGCCGGCGTAGACGAGAGAAGCATTGCATTCATGATGATATTGAGCACGGATGACGCTCGTCGTCGTTGTCGCGACTTCTCCGAAGTGCGGGGACTGCCTAGCAGCTAGGCCGCTAGGCGTTCCAGGGTCGACATATCAATCATTGGCACTGGACTGGAAGGGCTACGAGCTGTTCGGTTTTTGAGAAGGTCTCTGAGGAGCACGACCCATGAAAGCAGCCGCAGTGGTGGTATGTAGCCGCAGCAACCAGAACCAAAAAATTGCAGCCGGCACCAACGGCAACAGTAGCAAAGCGAACGTGGCTCACTCGCAGGCCCATAAAGCCACTCAAGACAGCCGTTTGGCCCCTCACGAGCACCACCACAACCCTGAAATAAATCCTAAACCCGAGCAGTAGTCTCTAAACTTCAGCCGTAAGGCCCCCAAACTCCCCCGCTGGTAGAGTAGAGCCCTTAAAAAAGGAGCCCTAGCTCGCAGGAATGGTCCGGAGGAATGAGCTTCCATCCGGGTCTGCAAACCGCCGAGGGCTCAGGACATCAGGTGCAAAGGAGGAGCAACAGCAGTCTTTAGGGGTCGGAACAATATTTATTATTAATATCCCCCTTTTAGTATTTTAGTCTCTCATATGTGTATTACATAAATAGATTAAATAAATAAACAGATAAATAAATATAAATACATATATGTATATATGTATATATGTAGAGGTAGAGATAGATAGATGTAGACACATACGAATATGCACTGTGATGTTTGCCAAAACCCTGCTCCAATCGTTGAGGTCTCGGTATCAACAGGACAGGTGGCAGGTAGCATTGCTAAAGCTGTTAATGCCACCTAGTCATAAGCCGTAGTCTGAGCGTGGTAGCATTGCCGAAAATGCTATGTTACCCAAAAGCACCATGAAGAGAAGCAAGACGAGTCCTTCTCCGTGTTCGTGAGTTCTGCAGTTCGTTATCCCGACTCCTGGAGTCTGGATTTTTGTGGTCTCTCGTGGAAGATTCGCAGGGGTCGGGCTCGACAGTAGTAGTCGCTGGCCCCAAAACATGCAATCATTGGTCTTCGGCTTGTGTGCTGCGTATCGGAGACTTGGCAGCATCATGAACACGTGTGTTCAGGCTGAGGAGGACATGGCGTCTTCGTCCTACATTGCTTTGGATCGGCAGGCAGCCGCACGCTCAGCTTACCCATGCTACTGCTTCTACGATGTGTGGGAGACGCTGTTCACTCTGAGCATCAGCTCCAATCCAGGCTCTGTATCACCCCTGGCAGCCGGCGGAACCTTCAGCAGCAGCCCCAAACGACACGTGCTTTGAGGTTTGGGCATGGTGTGGGCTCTTGCCATCGGTGTTGGGTTTATTGCATTGCGATCATAACTTGAAAGCTTAAGGCATATCTTTACTGATTATTCCCTCTAGCGAAATGCAGCATGTCTTTGCATCCGTTGCATCCATCACCGTGCATGCCTCTACAGTAAGCCTTTACAGGATGGAACTCGCCTCGAGCGGAATCAGGCCGTGAATAATGAGGAACAGTTTCGTTATGTGGAGAGTTCCGCGGCTGTAGACGAACGGCTAGGAAGGCACACGATTCCTGCATCCAGTGTCCTATTATTTAAGTTCTTGTGAAGGAACGGTTTGATGGTTAGCATGCTATGGCCTCATCTAATCAATCTAATCACGACCGGCACCTCCAGCGGATGTATGTCTCACCCTCTCACGTACCCACGTCTTTATCTGGCCAGCTCATACGGGCGCAGAATTTTTTATTTGTTTGGATATATATATATATATATATTATATATATTATATTATATATATTATATTATATATATTATATTATATATATATATATATCTTTATGTATAATACATCTCACAAACGATGATTTTCCATCATGGGACGCCCTTGCTGACCCTGCCCTCTCTTGTTTCCTGGCTCTCGTCGGCCTTTTTCCCGACTCTGGCCTATCTCATTCCCGACTAAACTCTTAGGGTTTAGGGTTTAGGGTTTAGCTTAAAGAGCCCTCGACAGCAAGAAGCACTAAACGAGCAAAAAGCAGTGTCCGGCTCGAGTTATAGTCTCCACAGTAGCAGCTAGAATTTAGCAACACACTAACCACAAGAAACGTCGAAAAATGGAAGGAAACAAACAGTTAACATACAACAAATACCATAAACGTATCAATGAACAGATGTGGATAATGAGTACAATGCATCGTTCTAACAAGAATAGCAACAAATAATACACAGAGAGCAACACGCCTAAAAACCCTAAACCCTAAACCCTAAACCCCTACACCCCTAAACCCTAAACCCTAAACCCCCTAAACCCTAACCCCCGAACCGGCACAGGGGACCCTGGGCCACTTCGTCGGTCGGCTTTCTGCTGCCGGGGCCCCGAAGAGAGAGCTTGATGACCCCTGGGAGGGTTAGGGGTTTAGGGGTTTAGGGTTGGGGTTTAGGGGTTTAGGGTTTAGCGGTTTAGGGTTGGGGGTTTAGCATAGGGTTTAGGGTTTAGGGTTGGGGGTTCAGCAGCTCCGAATAGCTGGGCAGTGAAGTCTCAGGAAAAGTACCCACACGCCCAACGAATCCCACAACATAGGAAATTAAACTGCTTTTTTTTAGTTCGCGCTGTGTGTTCTACATAGTACCATCAGCATTCTTCAATTCGCGAGTCTAAACAGCTTTTTACCAAACTTCTGTGGCTAGACCCCTAAGTCTTTAGAGGCTTCTGTAAGCCTACTTGCTGTGCTCACCTCGGGCCAGAGCCCTAAACCGCAAACCCCGGGCCAGATCCACAAACCCCAGAGTCAGCCCAGAGCCCTGAACCGCAAATATAAATCCATAGCAGTACCTTATAAGGACCCGAAACTATGGGATATTTTGGTCTACTCCTTATCATGGATATGTATCATCAACCGCAGGGGCCTAGCTCAAAGCCCTAAACCGGAAACCCCAAGGATTGCCCCCCTCATTTGACTGCAGTGACAGGCCTCAGACCTCCATAAACCCTAGTCAGCCCAGAGGCTTGAACCAGAGACCGTGAACCCTGGCCAAAGCCAGCCCTGAACCGCAAACCCAGACCAAAGCCACGAAGCATGACCCAAAGCAACGAAATATGGCCCAAAGAAGCGAAAAAACCCCAAAGAAACGAAAAATGACCCAAAGAAACGAAATATGACCCAAACAAGCGAAACATGAACCAAAGCCACGAAATATGACACAAAGAAACGAAACATGACCCAAAGAAACGAAACATGATCCAAAGGAACGAAACGTGACCCAGACAAGCGAAACATGACCCAAAGAAACGAAACATGATCCAAAGGAACGAAACGTGACCCAGACAAGCGAAACATGACCCAAAGCCACGAAATATGACCCAAAGAAACGTATTATGACCCAAAGCCACGAAGACTACAACGTTTAAACTACTATAGGTGGACAGGTTTAGGGTGTGTTAGTGTGAAACTCCTTAGCAAGAATAAGAACCCGGGGCTTGCAGCGGCGCTGCAGGGGCGAAAAGCCTCCATCGCGAATCAAACGGTTGCGGGGTTGGGGTTTAGGGTTTTAGGGGACTAC